GATCTTCATTAATATGATTACTGGCTTTTAAAGCGTCATCATAATCGAAAGAAAATTTAATTTGAGTATCATCTGCATAAAAGAATGGCTTACCATTCTTTATGTTATTCCCAAAGTTGGAGGTATATAGTGAAAATAATAAAGGCCCAAGTATTGATCCCTGAGGAACTACTCGGGAAATCTGCTTAGTATTTGATGAACCTGCATCAGTAACTACAAATTGCTTCCTGTTATCAAGGTAGCTATTAAATAGTCTAATAACATCATTAGAACAACCAATAAAATGTAAAATATTCAGTGAAAAATTGTATGATTAATAGTATCAAATGCTTTGGAATAATCGAGCATAACACGTGCTGCTGTTTTAACCACCTAAAGATAGGATGTTGCGCATCGTAGGCGGTCCTTTATTTTGACGTGCAAATGAAAATGACTGAGTGACGTCATAGCATCCGGTCCATAGGATGTAGGGCATCGTGGGCGGTCCTTATTTCTACATGCAAATGAAAATCACTCTATTACTCTGTGAGTAACGTCATGCAAGTGGCAGACGAAAACTGAACACGGGATCATCCAGCCCTGGTTTATATTCGACATGACTTACTATAATAAAAATAACTTAAGTACTGTCTCTGTTCGAAATATGAACTTTTGAACGATTGATATTTTCTTTGTTGAATCACGTCGGACAATGTTAAATTTTAAACTTTGGTAGTTGCCTGACGTGAGACATGACTGACTAAAATTTTGCTTAAAAGATGAGCTAGAGTAAAAAGACCTTAAAAAGTAGTATCCAGCTCGACGAGATGAAATAATATAACATGACAGGGAAGGGTGAAATAAAAAACCGCGAAACTTTTGGCTTGTATGAATAATTTAAAATAAGAGCGTTTTTAAAATGACTCTATCAGATAATGTCGAAAAATTTAAAAGTGGTGGTGGCATGAGATGGGACATTACTCACTAGTATACAACTACTATGGAGCAGCTATTAAATTAAAAATTGTTTTGAGGAACTTTATTTGACATTTCTCAAACACTCGTGTTTCTCATAAAAATCCAAAAACTGAGAACAGTTTCTGACCCTTTCCAGACAACTATATAAAACTTGACTGGTTAATTAAACGAGATAGTTCAGAAGTCGAATAACGCAATAAAAATTGAAAAATAGGTTCACACCAGGATATGTGCTTTGTGGTTCACATACGGACTTTTATTCGATTTTAGTCGATCAATAAAAATCGTTCGACTAAAATCGACTCGTGCGAACGCGCCTTTTAAGTTCCTCCTTCGTAACCTAAAAATGGTTTTAAGCATTTTCTAATATAATATTTAGTTCATAAGATATAGCCATTGTAATTTTTTAAATTGTCACCCCGTATAGCAATTACAAAGAAATTTAAAATGAGATTTCTGTGAGATTAATTAAATGTCACTAAAATATGATAGGCACATTTTTAATCAATCGGAGAAAAGCTATTTATAACTGAATTATAATTATTGTATATTAAATGAAATAATAAGTGAACAAATCGGAATATACTTTTGCATTCAAAGTTTAATGAATTTACGTTCAAATTTAGCAATTGTCCTATCCTAATCAAAAGTGTTTGGTATAATCAAAAATTAACATAATTAGGGCTGATTCCACTGTTGCGTTAAACCACGGAATACCTTGTTAGTTATTTCGTGGTTAAACGAAGTTTAAATTACTAAACGAAGATTAAAATGACATTGTTAATGTCAAAATGTCACCTTAGTCTTCGTTTAGTACAACAGTGCAAACGGCCCTTATTCAACAAAGGATCAAAATATGCATCAAAACAGTTCTTTTAAGATCATTAAAATTAAATAAATTTGTTATATATTATATACTTTCAATTTGTGATTTCTTTTTTAATGAAACTCAGGCGGTCATCAAAATGTATAAGTTTGATAAACTTTGAACAATGTTCATTCACATTCTGAAGCTCTGGCAAAGTTTATCAGCCCTATAAACTTTCTTTTGCAACCGGCTGTTAATCTTTTAAATAGTATTAACAAAAATATTAATTAAATGAAAATATATACGGAGTCTTCAAAAATACCCGTATCCCATGTGATCTGTTAAAACAAATTTAATAAAAATTGCCGTTCTTAGTTACTTTTGTAGCAACAGAGTCAGTTCTGTCAAATACGTCAGTGACATTGTTTTAGGGTTGCTACTAAAAGGTATTTCTGTATAAGCTTACCATAACTTACTAGAAGATTCATCATATTCCCAGAGCATTACTTATAAGGTTTGGTTACTTTCATGAAGTCATATGTCACCAAAGCAAGTAACTCCTTCTAACCACGATGGTATTAATAAAATATCAAGCATGCAAGCAAAGAATTGTAAAGAGAGAAGTTCTTCTGATAGGGTTTGTTTTGTTTGTTTGAACATTTTTGTATTAACTGTGAAAGGAATTAAATTTGAAATAAAGGGCACTGAAATAACTAAATAAATAACAAAATCAAAATACCCTAAATTTCTTGTAATTCAAATATGGATTAGAACTCTCCCAAATTAAATTTGACATATAACAAGTGTTACATTACCACAGTATGTGTGACGTCACCAAAGTAACTACAAACTACAGTTATGTTGTACAGTATAAGGTTATAAAGAAATACCTAAAGTTATTGTTGACATCAATTTGATCATGAGGGTACGGATATTGTTGATGATCCCATTCTTACTACAACTATGTAAAAACTTTATAATATATTGTTAACAAAACATTGGAAATATCTGTGTAGTCTGTATTTTAGCCAGGCTCATTTTTTGCGAACTAGACTTACTTAAATATCATTTGTTTCTTTTACTGATAGATATAATTCTTATTTATATTTATTGACATTGTTAGTGTATTTCCAATACTAAATTACCGAATTACCAATACTTTTTTTTAGAATACGTATGTATAAAAAATTCTTACACTGAATAAATTTTTCTAAACACATCAAAGTTTTATTCCAACAAAACATATATCCATATTTTATGTATATCCGAGGTAATCTCTGAAATTACGGGACAAATTTAAAAAAAAATTATTCATTCCATAGTTTTAATTATTCATCTTCTTTGAACTAATTGTTTCTAATTTATTTCGTGATTAAGCAATATCGAATACTACTTTCCATCAAAAACAGTCAAATTTCTCTAGAAATTGTTGTTTTCCATAAATTGTTTCATTAAAAAAATTTTTCAAAATGGTTCCTAAATTTATTTTGAAACTTATTCCCTGTAATATTATTAAGGATAATAAAGACAACACTTTTATTTTTTTTTTTTATGTATTCTGGTTATAATTTATGTACTTGAAAAACGGAACGTTCAAATGAATGAAATTTAATTCAGTTATCATAAATGAGTAAAAAATATGTATTATCATTATTTATTGATAATAAAAAGAAAACTATATTGTATTGTTTTTATAACGTACTTAAATTAAAGAACTTATGTATAAAATTCGTTTCACAACCCCCAACATAGTCAAAGTACCTATTCTAAAAGAACCCTTTAAATTACGTATTTTCCTACTACTGTCTGGATCAAAACACTCCACTAGAAGTTATTGAATAAGTCATTATACAATATATTGAGTAGATTACAAATAAATTCAACCTTAAAAGAGCATCGGCAACCACTCCAACTGCAAATCCTAGAATGAAATATTTTCCTGATGCTTAAAGAAAGAAATCCCGCTAGATTTTATTGATTAGATCATTATTTAAAATAATCATTAGTTTTAAAAAAATTAAGGAATCTAAGCCATCAGAAGCCACCCTAACTGCGACCCCTGGAAATAAATATTTACTAATTACTATTAGGAAGAAACCCCGCTAAATGTTCTTGACTTCATTATACACTACAATAATTGGTTTTAATAAAAATTCAGCCTTCCAAGTGCATCGAAAACCACCCCTGATGCGAGCCTTAGAATCATATATTTTCCTGTTGCTTATATAAAAAAGAAACCTCGCTAGATTTTATTGCTTAAATTATGATATAATATATTATTTTTAAAAAAGATTTAGCATTTCAACTGCATCGGAAAGCGCCCCTGCTGTGCCCTTTGAATTGTATAATTTCCTGTTAATTACAGAAAAAAACCCACTGGATTTTGATTAAATCATTGTATATTATAATAATTAGTTTTATAAAAGATTCAGCATTCCAAGTGCAACGAAAACCACCCGTGATGCGAGCCTTAGAATCATATAGTTTCCTGTTGCTTATAGAAAAAAGAAACCCACTAGATTTTATTGCTTAAATTATGATATATTATTTTTAAAAAAGATTGAGCATTTCAACTGCATCGGAAAGCGCCCCTGCTGTGCCCTTTGAATCGTATAATTTCCTGTTGATTACAGAAAAAAAACCCACTGGATTTTGATTAAATCATTGTATATTATAATAATTAGTTTTATAAAAGATTCAGCATTCCAAGTGCATTGGAAACCACTCTTACTGTGACCTTTAGAAAGAAGAAACCCTGCCAGATTTTATTGATTAAATCATTATATAAATATAATCCTTAGTTTTAAAAAAGATTCAGGAATCTAAATATATCAGAAACCACCCTGACTGCGACCCCTATAATTAAATATTTTCCTATTATTTTTAGGAAGAAGAAACCCCATTAAATACTCTTGCTGTATCTATTTTAAAATTATTGAATATATTATATAATAATTTAATTAATCTTTTTTCTGTAACAGGAAAATATGATTCTAAGGGTCACAGCAGGGGTGGTTTCTGATACACTTGGAATGCTGAATCTTTTTTAAAACCAATTACTGTAATGTATAATTATTTGGTCAAGAACATTTAGCGGAGTTTCTTTTTCCTAAAAATAATAGGAAAATATTTCATTATAGGGGTCACAGTTAGGATGGTTTCCAATGCACTTAAGACTCCTGAATATTTTTTAAAACTAATGATTATATTGTTCAATGATTTAATCAATAAAATTTAGCGAGGGTTCTTCTTTCTACAAGCAACAGGAAAATATTTAATTTCAGGGGTTGCAGTTGGGGTGGTTTCTGAAGCACTTTTAAGGTTGAATCTGTTTGTACTTTATGAAAACAATACTTGCTTTTCTTTTTATTATCAATAAATAATTTCAAGACATTTTTTTAACTCATTTATGAATTAGGTACATTTAATAATTTTATTCATTTGGATATTTCGTTCTTCAAGTACATTATAATTTAACAATAAAATATTTCTTACAAGACATCAGTACATCCAAAAAGTACATCAAAATCAGTCAAATCTCTCTAGAAATTGATGTTTTCCACAAATTGTTTCCTTTAAAAAATATTATGCCAATTTTATCTTCCATATGGATGCATCTGAGCTGCGCTCTTTATGTTTGTCTTTATAGCAGAGGGAGCTTTGTTCATAGTCATAGCTTGTGTAGTAGGAGGCATCTGTCCTTGACCTGGTGGTCCTCCAGGTCTACCTTGTGGAGTTACCATCATTCCTCCAGATGTAGGGTTTGACTGGCCATTTGGATTTGGACCCATCTACAAAATGTTGATCAATTTATTTCAAATATGAGAATAAATTAAAATTGATGTATTTATTCAGAAAAAATATAGTTTATCACCTTAAGTCCTTTGCCCATTCCCACTGCAGCAACTAAAAGATGTGTATCAGCCACACTAGAATTTTGTTGAGTATTACCCCGTGAAGATGATTCAGTTTCCCATTCTTCACGAGCTTTACTGACAATGTCCCAAACATGAGAAATAACTTTCTGATATGTTGCAATTTGTTTCTGAAATAGAACAATCATATAATAAGGTATTAGCAAAAATAATATATTCCATACTTGTGCATTATCATACTGCAAACCTAATGCTTTCGTTTCCAATTGCATCATCTTACTCTCTGCCATTGGTTCTAGTTTAGTTCTGAGATAATCTGGACATAAATCATGAGCAAATGTTGTTACTCTATGTTCTGTCATTTGTGCTAGTTGCTCATCTCTTTCAGGAGATAACATTAATGGTAAGACTGTTAAATTTCTCAAAACAGGACATTTATCATGACTCAATACTTTTGAGAGAGAAGTAAGCTGAAAAATATATAAAAAAAAAAACTGTTTTGATGGCAATACATGAGTAAAAAGACGTGGCAAACCAAAAATAGAATGGTTTAATTTAGTGCTGTATAAAGATAATGGAAACAAGAAATAGGGAAGGAAGCATATTCCAATACACTGTGATAAGCTCTGAAGACAAGCATTCAAAATCCTTAGAGTTGAGATATTTTTTATCTGTTAGATTTTTACCTACCTGACCTGATATTAAGGCATAATTGTCCAAAAAAGTGGGCCAAGTTATAGATTCATATTCGTTTTCTATTTTAAATATCATTGATGCTATTGATTGTTTTAAATCATTTACTCTTTGAATAATTGAATCTAAAGCCGACTCGAGTTGTTTTTCTTCTCTTTGTTGCATCTTATATCTTTTATATTATTTTTTTACACTTTCCTAAAAAATAAATATTTATACACAGATTTCATAACCCAAAATTTACTTCTTTCTTGGTGTTATGTCTGCCTTCATTTTTTTCATCTACTAAACAATTTATTTTTGGACTGCAGACAGTCATACTCTACGTCTCTTAATAATAACGTAATAGAAGAAATAATTAACTCAAAAATTAGCGATGGGCATAATCGGATTATTTCAATAATCGGTTACTGGCGATTCGAGGATTTTCATAATCGAATTATCCTCGGATGATCCTCGGAATCTAATCTGTCACTTGTCATCGTTCATTCTTGCTTTAATAGTATCCAAGGTCAAGCAATATTTACGTTTTTAAACTAAAGATAAAATGATAAAAATGCGTCCCATTCAATGAATAGAGTCCCATGTGGTCCCGTCCCAAATGTATCAATTATATTATATAGTTCACTGAATCTATCTCATTTTTTTCTACCCTATATCAATCCCCAGTTGGACAAGGTGTTTCGCACTCCCGCTTTGCGCACCCGAATCGGAGGTTATGACGTGCACTGACAGCTGACAGCGATTCGTTTCTCTAGACATTGGTTGATCCGAACGAATATTTAACCGAATGAATCCTCGGAACAAATAATCGGATTATACCGAGGATTTTGATACTCGGATTACCGAGGATTTTTAATTCGAATGATCCCATCACTATCAAAAATATCAAAATTTAAAATGTAAGGTTAAGATTTTGAATTTCGACAAAAACAGAAACAAATATAGATGATGTAAATGTACATTTTATTAATTGAAACAAACATAATAACAATTCAAATAATGGCAATAAATGCTCACTAAAATGTAACAATGTTAGCTGAAGAGTCGTTCGAAACTCGTCAAAATAATGAGTTCGAAGCTTTACAAGTAAATAATTTAGATTTATTATTATTTTGAAAAACTCCTTGAAAAATGCAATTTACATTAGTAGTAAAAAATGAATAAAGTTTTAAGCTTGTTTTAAAAATCAACTGTAATACTTGCTACTTATTTCACGCAGAAAGATACCAGATTTAATGAAAAATTAGAAATTAGAAAACATTTAAAATTTAAATAAAGGTTATAAATATTAACAATTTATCTAATGATAGAGTTAGTTCTAAAGAGATCAGAATTTTTATGTATGGTTTCAGTAGTAATTCTTCATAACATTTCCCATTTTTGATCAAATTAACCAGAAGCTCATTTTTGTTATCTGTGAGGATTTCTTGGTTTCTTTTGGCTTTGTGACAAATGGTGCTGCAGTTCTAGGTAATCTCTAATTTGGACTTAATAATTGTATTTTTGTAGGCAATATATAATGAGCATTTGTGTGATTTACGTAAGAAAGCAGTTTGGAATCAATGGACCCCACTGGATTTATCAATTACACTTACTCCTCAACAGGGGAGTCTAGGAACTCAAGAATTTTATGTCCAAGTTGATTTGCACATAATTTGCAATGAAAAATATCCTGATAGGTAATTCAATATATGTTGATTGTAAGGGTGATGAGTGGCCATGTATTGAAAACTATTTGTTTAATAATTTCAGAAAAAATATTTTTATAAAGCCATTAAAAATATTTTCAAGTTTGTAACTTGCTGCAACCCTTATCTCTGTCTTTATGTTATGTCCTACTTTAGAAACATTTTTTGTATCACATTGTGTAGCTAGAGAATATTTGGTAATAAGCAAGTACTTTTATATTTTTTAGTCGTGTTTTTAGTATTAATAAATATGGATTGATCCACAAAATATATTTCTAAAAAAAGAAGGCCTTAACGGCCATGGCCTACTTTAGAAATATTTTTTGATTAGTTTTCATTTAAACATTTTTCCAACGACAATTGTAGCTATTCCTTCTCTTTTATAATTTAGAGGGGTAGCCAAAATTTACAAAAATGCAAAATTAAAAAAAAATGAAAATCTTTATAATGATAATATTATTTATTTAATTATTTATTTATTTATTTATTTATTTATTTATTTATTTATTTATTTATTTATTTATTTATTTATTTATTTATTTATTTATTTATTTATTTATTTATTTATTTATTTATTTATTTATTTATTTATTTATTTATTTATTTATTTATTTATTTATTTATTTATTTATTTATTTATTTATTTATTTATTTATTTATTTATTTATTTATTTATTTATTTATTTATTTATTTATTTATTTATTTATTTATTTATTTATTTATTTATTTATTTATTTATTTATTTATTTATTTATTTATTTATTTATTTATTTATTTATTTATTTATTTATTTATTTATTTATTTATTTATTTATTTATTTATTTATTTATTTATTTATTTATTTATTTATTTATTTATTTATTTATTTATTTATTTATTTATTTATTTATTTATTTATTTATTTATTTATTTATTTATTTATTTATTTATTTATTTATTTATTTATTTATTTATTTATTTATTTATTTATTTATTTATTTATTTATTTATTTATTTATTTATTTATTTATTTATTTATTTATTTATTTATTTATTTATTTATTTATTTATTTATTTATTTATTTATTTATTTATTTATTTATTTATTTATTTATTTATTTATTTATTTATTTATTTATTTATTTATTTATTTATTTATTTATTTATTTATTTATTTATTTATTTATTTATTTATTTATTTATTTATTTATTTATTTATTTATTTATTTATTTATTTATTTATTTATTTATTTATTTATTTATTTATTTATTTATTTATTTATTTATTTATTTATTTATTTATTTATTTATTTATTTATTTATTTATTTATTTATTTATTTATTTATTTATTTATTTATTTATTTATTTATTTATTTATTTATTTATTTATTTATTTATTTATTTATTTATTTATTTATTTATTTATTTATTTATTTATTTATTTATTTATTTATTTATTTATTTATTTATTTATTTATTTATTTATTTATTTATTTATTTATTTATTTATTTATTTATTTATTTATTTATTTATTTATTTATTTATTTATTTATTTATTTATTTATTTATTTATTTATTTATTTATTTATTTATTTATTTATTTATTTATTTATTTATTTATTTATTTATTTATTTATTTATTTATTTATTTATTTATTTATTTATTTATTTATTTATTTATTTATTTATTTATTTATTTATTTATTTATTTATTTATTTATTTATTTATTTATTTATTTATTTATTTATACATTGTTCAACAGGTTAAACCCAATTACAGAACAGGAGTACATTTGAAAGAAAACAGTTTAACAAAAAGCATATAGATAATTAATCTAAAATTACAGTAAATAAATTCTAAATTATTTTAAACAATGTGTTTTTATGTTTTTAACACTGCAATTAAAAATATCCAACTGTTCACTAATATTATTATAATTATTACACATGTTATATACAGGTGAAAACTTCAGAACGTTTGTCCGATGTCTAATCTAAAGTAGGTCTTGGAAAAATTCACGTATATTGGAACATTCAATTGTTCTTTTTAAGTGTCAGTTTGGATTTAAATTATAGCTGCGAGTAGTTATCATGGACATGGCTCATATATCTGTCTTTGTTAGTCGTGGTATACTTAAGAAACTTTTTATTTTCTTTTTTTATTCTTTATTAATTTGTAATTTTTGAGGTACTGTAATTAATTTTCATTTTGTCAGCTGGTTCAAGTTATATCATTTCATTCAAATAAATACATATAAAAACTAAAGCACTGAAAGTTACATGAGGCCTTCTTTTTAAAAACTATTGAACCTAATTATTAAATTAATTAAATTAAAGATAACAATTATGTATTTTTTTTTTCTGAGAAAATTTAAGTCAAAAGTGTTTTCGAGAAAAATGGGATCTGTTGCCACCCCTAATAATCACCTTGTACATAAGTACTTTTATTCGAACTTGTATCTTGAGTTTTTCATAAGAAAAACTATCATAGGTAATATAGATAATTATTTGAGTTGCAAAATCGTGCAAAGCCTTGTACTTTTTGGGAAAATATATTTTTTTGTTAAAAAATAATATCAATTAATTACTTAGTAATTATTAATAAACAGGGTTCGAAAATATCATGATATTTATATAAATATCATATCACATGATGTATATCTGATATATATCAGATATATATATATCATTTTTAAAATTTAATTATTTAATTAAAAAACAGTATTGTTTCTTGCACAAACTATATTTTAAATTTTAACACAAACATATTAACAAAAACCCATATTCTAATCAATATTCTAACTCAAATTAAAAAGAAAAAACAAAAATAATTAATAAAAAAAACAGATTTTAACATTATTTTATTAACTTTAATATTTTAACACAAACACATATAAATCGCTAGTTATTATACTTTTGTTCAGGGGCATATTGACATTTTCGGATGTTCAGAATGATGGAAAACATTTTTAATTTAATAAATAAAATTATCGAATATATCGTATATATATCAAGGTATAAATATCATGATATATATCCTCCGAACCCTGTTAATAAATGTTAAGCAACAATCAGTTTTGATTTTAAAACACCAATGGGTAAACCACTAAGGTCAAAGTACCCAAATTTCAGAAATCACCTAAAATTTATTTTATATGTGATTTCACTGAAAATCTCCCTTAATTTTATGAGATACCTTTTTTACTCTTTCCTTGTCTTTTGATCCACAAGATGCTGCATTTTATATTTTTTGAAGACAAAATGATTTCGAAGTGATTTCAATGATGATATTTGATAATTTCGGAAATTTCGTGAAAATTTATAGTGATTTCGGTAATTTTTTTAAATGAAAATGAACCAATATTTCAGGAGTGGTTCACCCCTACATAACGCTCTAAATTAGAATATAAAAAAATAGATGGATTTTTTTCTTTTTTTTTTAGTACTCCTAATATCCTATTGGAAAATGGCAAAGGATTATCTAATACAATTTTGATGGAATTAAAACAATGTTTAGACGAAAAGGCAGATAATTTGAAAGGTGAAGAAATGATATTCCAACTGTGTCAACTGGTTGAAGAATTTTTACATAAACATAATAAACCTGCTTCTAAAAGTTTTTACGAGGAAATGTTAGAAAGACAAAAGGAGAAAGAAATGAAGGATTTACAAGCTAAGCAGATTGAATTGGATAAACAAGTAATTAATATTTTATATTGGTTGTAGTTGACTAGATTTGCTATGAACATACAGTATGTAATTTATTTATTTACGGGCAAGCCCATTTCAATTACAAATTACAATTATAAAATTAATTAAAATATCACAAATAGTTATGGTGCTGTTGCACAAAGGCATCATACATGTCATGCAAACTAGAAACATTTAAAATAATAAAATAATAACATAGGTTAGTCGAAGGTTAAAATAGAGAAAACACACAGTAAAACATTAACATTAAAGCTCAGTATTACGTAATTGAGTTTTGAATGATGAAAATGGAATATTGAACAGCCTGAGATCATTGTGCAAGTTAGCTAATCCAAGCATTCTTGGAATGCAGCTGTTAAAAGCCTGGTTTGATCTATAAAAAGGTACATAAAATGTTTGCAGTTGCCTAGTTAAACGAGTTTGAACAAGAAGATTTATTTTTTCAAGAAGTTCAGGACAATTACTTCTCCTATCAATCATGCATTCTCTTTGCTCTACCAAGAGTTTGAGTGGTAATTTTTAGATATGAGTGTTTTTCAGATATTTTTTATTGTTAGTAACTTAAAATTTTGCATGTCTTGCCTACAAGTTATTAAACCTTACAAGAGAGGGTTTTTTTTCTCCACGTTTAGGTTTTCGACAATATTGTTATACAAATTATAATATTGACATTAAGAATGAAGCTTTTCAATACAATTTAGTCAAAAATAATGTATTTTGGATACTTTGAAAAAATCTGAATATAGCATAGTTTGTGTTATCTGTGACATATGACTTAGGATAGTTCTGCAATCAGATACAATATAAATATATACAAGTGTGACCCATTTGAAAGCGGGCCACCCTCATAAATATTTTATTTATAGAGTGATTTTGATGTTTTTTTTTAATGTGTAGGGGACAGGTGTATTTTGGAGCCAAGCGGCGTCTAGTTTTTTTAAAAACCAAGGTCTACTAGAGGCTAAAAAATCCAGAACAACCATAACACCCCTAGATATTTAATTTTTTTGACTCTCTGGAACTTTACTCCATCAACAGAAACACACTGCGATGCTACATTTGATTTTCTTAAATTTCCAGAACCACCAATTAACATACATTTTGTCTTTTCGTAATTTATTTTCAACGAGTTTCCATTACAATAATCATTTATTTTACTTATAGAACTATTAATTTCTTTAAAACAAGTTTCAGTGTTTTCATGAGTAAAATATAGCAGGTATCATTTGCAAATAAGTGTATTGAGTATCTTTCGACTATACAAGCAATGTCATTAATATAAATGAAAAAGAGTAGCGGACCCAGAACACTACCCTCTGGCACCTTCATATTATTATCTATAGTTTCTGAAACATAATTACCTTAATCTTCTGTTTCCTATTTTCCATATAATATCCCAATCAGTCCAGTGCACAACCCCAAACCACTAGCTCTTAATTTCATTAATAATCTACCCCTTTAATAGTCTCTAATGCTCTCGGTAAATCTAAAAACACCTCCAGGGTAACAAAATTATTTTCGTTTGACAACTTCCAGTCATGCAATACCAACTATAAAGCAGTTTCACAGATGTGATTACTATGGAATCCTGATTGCACATTATTTATTAAGCTGTTCCCATCTAAATAATCAATAATTTAAAGATATATTACTTTTTCTATTAATAATAATAATAATAATAATAATAATAATAATAATAATAATAATTGTCATTTATTGAACTGAAAATTCAATCCAATAGGCTATCGACCGAAGTCCTTCTGCCTTTAGTTTTCCAATAGTACTGATAAAATTTATCCGTTTTAAATGGTTAGCCTTATTTGTATTCGAAATTTTTTGGTATCAGATTTATTGTAGCAATCTTAGTTTCGTCCGGAAATAAGTTTATTTTAATAGAAACATTTATAATATATAATAGAGGTTGGGATAAACCTAATTTGAATCTGAATGTACAATATCTTAGAAATTTATGTTGAACACACATGAAATGCCGACCAAACTGGCAACCCATATTCCAATATTGACCCAACATAAGCTGAGTAAATTGTTTATGGAATTCAATGAGAGGTTGTTCGAATTCCTTAAGACAAAACCTAAAGTGTTGAGAGCTTTATTTATTGTATAAGTGGTAGCCCTAAATTGTTCATCTCATTAACACGTTTAAGAATTGAATCTGACATTGAGTAATCAAATACAATCTTGTTATGTCCTCTACCAAAAGTAATTGTGTACCTAACACTTGTTGATATTAAGTGACAAACAGTTCTTTACAGACTTATCATTCAGTGCATTAATATCACTTTGTAAAAGATAATCACACTATTAATGGGCATTTAATATCTTTAGATCATCAGCAAAAATAAGAAAATTATTATATTTCAAAATATATTCATTATTTTGATATAAAGTAAGAGCAATAATGGTCTTAAGTGGAAACCTTATGGAACCCTTGAGGGTACGTTATATAGGAAGGACAGACTTCCATCTACTCTCATCATCTGAACTTTAAAAGGAAGACCAAGTTTTATAATTTAACATGGTCAAAAACTTTACTAAAATCAGACTTGCATATATTTTTATAAAATTTAGAAAGAACATTTTGTTGTTAGATCATCAGATTGGTAACTGTAGAGCCACCTGCAGTAGAACCAGGTGGTTGATTAATAATGATATTACTGCAATACCGAGACAATGGTATTGCACTATGAGAGCTGGGAAGATGGCCGTCACCTCTCAGCGATAACCAGCAGGTTTTGACAAGTTGAGGGGTAGGTCATGTGTGCCTGCAGAATACACAATGGGCTTTATGAGGCCTAAGTGTTGTTGACCAACCTACCATCCCCACCTTACAGATATAGGACATACTGATGAGCCAGTAATTCTGTATATCACCTATCGCCGGTTTTAAATAATCTTTATCAATTCCAAAAAAAAAGGGTAAACAATCATGTCTCCATATTCCTACTTTAATTAGTATAAAGGTTAAAATTTGACTGCACCTTTGCCATTAACACTTATATAATTCGTTTTATATGTATGACTAAATTAATTATTGTAGCGCCAGTATATGAGAGAAGAAGTTCAAAAAAGAGAAGAAATCTTAAGATCAGAGGCCAAAAAGTGGAAAGAAACTAGACGCAATTCTGATATTGATACTGAAATTGATGACAGAAAGTCATCAATAACTTCAAGGTAAAGGGATAGTTTAATAAATATTGTCACATTTATTTATTTCAACAGTTTAATTGTTCTGATTTATATTCAGTAAATTCACGAACATATTTTATATCTAGTTTATTTGTATTCAAAATTACACTGATGTGTATTTACTTCAACAATTTATCTTTACTCGACAACATTTGTCTCTAAAATTAAACAAGTAATGGTAAAAGAATCTACTTGTTTTTAAAAATATAATGGGCTAGAAAAATCCAATCATATCCCAAAGAATCTCGATGCTAGTCTAAGCATTCTCGAAATATTTCCTCTATGAGTCGCATAGAACCTTTCAGTAACTTCTCGAGTCTCGAGGTGGGCAAGTGAAACACAAAAGAGCTGCTGCGTAAACAAAAATCAGAGATGGACCTGTTCGCACGACAGTATTTATTTGGTTTTGGTTTTAAACATTTATTTACAGTTAATTTTTTTTACAAATAATCCATCAACACATAATAAAAACACACTGTACACAGTACGAGTGTGCGACCCTAAAAGTAAACCCTTGAGGCCTAAGGAGATCCTCCGCCTGTTACATGCCGTAAATTTTCTCTATTATGATTATGCTAAATCTAGCCGCCCTTACTCCTTACCCTTGGGGTATTATTAAGGGATTAAGATGGATTGTTATCGGGAATTGTAGGTATCTGAGAGTTTGTCGTCTTAATTTCGTATTGTCCCCTGAAAAAGCTAAAAAAAAACAGGGTTGTCGTTTGTGATAAGTGGTCTTGTACTAGTCTACGGTTTTTTGTCATAATTCACTGAGAGGGTGGGCTATAAACCACCCGGAAGTGCCGTGGTCGAGTGCGAATGAATGAATGAAAAATTTATTTACAGATTTATGTACAATACTATTTACATCTACAATACATGTTGTTTTTGTCCGAAAATCTTCGCCACTGTCCTCCGGCCTCGGCTAGAGAAGTGTGGGCGTCGTCCCGTACCCCAATCACGTATGCAGAAGTTTAGATTATGAATCTTGGGTGCCATCTCCTTATTTAACAAACATTATATGGCATTTTTGGTTGCTTTGTATACGTCGATAATTGATCTTAACTCATGAAGATGTGTCTTTTGTTAGTTATGTCTCGTTTCCCTGAAAAAGCGTGAGAAAAAACAGGGTTGTCCTTGTGTTTGTCGGTTGTCCGTATAGTTTATGGCTTGGATGTGCAAATTCGTGAATTACACGGTGTTACCGTCCATCGATTCAGCGAAAAATTCCGCCGTTTCGATTTTCGGTTCACCGTGCAGTCCCCCGTCCGACCAGATTTTACGGCTAGTCGGTTTGAATTTGCACATTCAGTTATTTTGTCACAGGGGAAGGTCTACGTTTGTCTGCGTGTGTCCTATGTTCAGAATTGTCTGTATAATGTTAGCGTCTTGTGGAGACATCCATGCTTCCTGTGAGCACTGTTTCCCGCATTAATACTAAGTATGTCTTCCTTGACATTGGCAGGAAGACTGTTTTTATAGAATCTTTCGGCTATATTTGATATGTATGATCTTATAGTGGGCATGGATGTCTCTCTGTGTATGTCAGTTATCCTGGAATAGCGGAGCCACCCCAGTGCCTGCCTAAGACAGCTGTTTTGCACTACTTGTAATTTATTAAAATGGCTTTCTGTCATCGAACAGAAGGCCTGGCATCCATATGTTAGGATGGGTCTTATTATTTGCCTGTATATTTTAATTTTGTTATCTTTACTGACTCCACTGTTGCGTTTCAGCAGAGGGTATAGAGCTCTAATGGCCGCTTTGGCTTTTTTGACTCTGTCTTCTACGTGTGTTCTGAATGTTAACGCCCTATCTAGGTGCACACTAAGATACTTGACTGAGCGTTTTGTTTCTATTAGTTGTTCTTTTATTTTTAATTTGTTTAGAAGTTCTGATCATTTGTACAAACAGGTGTCGTCGGCGTACAGTGCCGTCTGTACACCATTAGTACCCATTGGCATGTCATGGGTCATAATCGTGTACAGATGCGGCGAAAGTACCGAACCCTGGGGTACCCCCGCTATTGTATTAAATGGTCCTGTTAATGTTTTGTTGATTTTAATGTAAAACGTTCTGTCTTGTAGGTAGGATTGAATCGTTTTTACAATGTAAATAGGAAATTCATTTATAAACATTTTGTAGGTCGAGTGCGAAAATTCGCTTTCGGCCGCGGCTCCGCCGGTCAGTTTATCGCTCAGTCCTCCGTCGGACTAGATCTCGTAAATATCCAGTCCGTGTGAATTATTGTTTAGTGTTGTTGGAATTGTCATGGGTCCTGTTACTGTCGTCTATATATGTTTAGATTTTTATGAACGCAACCGTGTTTTCTACGCACGCCGTCTCCCAGGTGAATTTGGATGATGTTCTCCCTCAATTCCTCAGGGAGGCATCGCGCGAAGAAGTTCTCTGCAGTTTGAATTAAGAAATCTTTAATCATAGACATATTTGTCGTCTCGTGCATGTCTCGTATTCTAGCATAGCGGTCGTAGCCAATACTAGCTTCAGACATTTTTGTGCCCTTTGTAGTGGAAGAAAATACGAATTTGGCATTGAGCGGTATACTGGACAACCATATGTCAGAATAAACCTAAATATAGTTTTGTATAATATTAGTTTGTTCGGCAGATATAGCTTGCTTCGTCTATTCATTAAAGGGTACAAAGACCTCAGAATACTTGAGTTTTTTAGCCACTCTGTCTTTTATGTGGGCCTTGAACAATAATGTCTTGTCTAGCAGAAAACCAAGATACTTTAATTGAGTTTTAATTGCGATTGGTTGATTCTGAACCTGAAGGGGCGTGTCTATACCTTGGACACGCTTTTTTGATAGTACGATCGACTCGGTTTTCGTTGAGTTTATTTTCATTTTGTTTTCTGCTAAATAATTCATTAATGTTCCATTAAGTTTTAGACATGATCTAGTTTATCCACCCATTGGCACCCCACACGACGCCTTATTAAATAAACATGGATTTTCAAGTCTCGATATAAGGCGAAAATATTTTTCTGTAATTATGCTGCATAAGGTCATAAGCGATCAAATAAACTGCGAATGTCTATTACACATGCTTAATTTAAAAGTTTCACGTCTAGCCTCAAGATATACTGACTCATTTTACTTACCAACACCTCGTACTAATATTTTAATGAACTCACCGTTGTATAATATGTGTAATAATTACAATCAGATAAGTCAGGAATTGGATATATTCCACAATAGTATTCAGGATATCAAAAGGCATTATTTAGGATAACCATCATTGTACTTTATTTCTTGTAATATTTTTCATTTTTGTACGTTTCGTCTAAATATTTTTGTCATATTTTCCTATTCTGTAATTGGGTATTACTTGTAGAATAGTGTATTTAATAAATAAATAAATAAAAATAAATAAATTAATATGATCATCTAGCCTGCTGCTCGCTGTTTGTGCTGATTTGTGGCTAGTGAATATACAGATGTCGGCGTACTGCGCCGTTTGTACCCCAATATGTCCCATTGGCAGATCATAAGCCATAATGGTGTACAAATGCGGCGATAGTACTGAGTCCTGTGGTACTCCCGCCATTCCTAGGAAAGGTCCTGTTATTGTAGAATTTATTTTGATGTTGAATTTTCTGTCCATAAGATATGACAAAATTGTTTTGACAATGTGCCCAGGAAAGTCATTCAGAAGCATTTTGTAGATTAACCCTCGGGTCCATACTACGGTATCGAAGGCTTTTTCGGAATCAAGCGCCACAAGCATCGTTTGCAGGTCCTGATTGTATGTCTCTTTGGCATGATGCACAATTCTCAGAACCTGGGCCTCGGTACTGTGTCCCTCTCTGAAACCGTATTGTTTCCTCGGGATAATCTGTATTCGTTGTTCTATTGTCTTTAGTCGTCGTAATATTATTGTGTCCGTTATTTTAGCAAGTGTGTTAAGCAATGAGATGGGGCGGTAATTATAAATATTATTTCTCTGTTTTCCCGATTTGAGAAGTGGGATAAGATTTGCCACTTTCAGCCTACTGGGATAGTGTTGTAGTTTGAAAATGGCATTTATTATATGGTAGATCTGCACGTTACCTTTTTTGCCGAGGTTTTTGAGCAGTATGTTGTTAATATCGTCCGATCCCGGAGCTTTTCTATTTTTGAGATACCTAATTACCTCACAAACCTCTCTAGGAGTGGTTAGTCAAGAATGGGGCACTAAAAGTGGTTCTAGCTTTTCGAAAGCGGCAACTATGCTTTCGATCCGTTGTTGTTGTGGATTGTGGGGTTGGTTATTAACAAATTGAGCTTGAAAAAATTCACCAGGGCTTGACCTTTGTCTTCGTCTATCACTAGTGTATCTGTCCTCGTCTCAGTGTGGGGAGCAGCGAATAGGGTTTTTTGTACCTCTTCACTACTCTCCATAAGGAGTTGTCTTCCGGTTTCAACTCTGACAGGGTAGTTTGCCATTTTTTATTACAATGATCTTTAATCATCTCGTTTATGCTGTGTGCGAGATTTAGCATCATAACCCTGTCATCGTTTGACCGGTGTGCCTGCCACCTTTTCTTGAGTCTTTTTTGTTGTTAATTAAGTCGGTGAATTCGGGTGGTAGGGTGTCGTAATGTGTTGTGTGTGTTTTTAAAGTAGTTGTCTCTTTTCTAGCTTTTTGTATATTGTGATTGAGTAGTTTAGTTTAATTTTCAAGAATTTCAACAGTTTGAATGCTGTTGTTAATTGTTATGTAAGTCTCGTTTATCTCTGTAATGTCTCCAGTTTGTCGACTTGTAATCGTAATATTGGGCCCTTAGTCTTTGTATTTTGTTCGTCGTCCATGATCAGAGTTAAGGGAGGTAATAGTTCTCATATTACTGATGTCGGGGATATTTTTAGCGACGGCGATATCCAGTGTACTGGGACTATGCGGGGAAGTAAGTCGGTTCTTCTGTGTAGTGAATAATAAGGTCATTGTCCTCGGCGAAGTCTCTCAAAACTCTACCGCTTGCGTTGTAGTACGCACAATGAGAGTCCCTTTCGACATTAACCTGTGCAGATCTCTACCTGAAAGTGAGGACCTAGGAAGATTATAAGCCCCTATAATTACAATATTACTTACCTCTATTATTATGTTTTCTAATCTTTCTGAGATATTAAGTTTAGGGATTTCTTTATATTTTAATTATCTTTTAACTCCAGAAGCGTTTCTGAGGTGTTTTTTTAGTTGAATATTTTTACTTTGTCTGTCTGTGTTAAAAAAGTTTCTGTTACTATGATAATGTCAAAATTATGCTTATGAATAAAAGTGCTGACAAGCCTGATCTTGTTCAGCAGCCCGTGCACATTGAAAAAACAAATTTTGAGTTTGTCTTTATTTGTGTCGTTGAATTTAGTTTCTAATGTTGTAGGAGTCAAGGTTTGTCATAAAATTATTAAATGTCATGAAGTACTGACATTGACAGTATTCAGTCCAATTCAAATATAATATTTAATATAGTAGTAAAAATTAAAAGTATATTATGTTCAATTATTTTTTACAGAAAGCATTTAAACAGTTCTGCAGAAACTAGTGAAGAATCTGTATGTGATCACAAAACTACAGTTATAATATCGTTTGGAGTTAGAGATATTCAGAGAGGAAGATGCATAAGTATAGAAATTTATTATTTATATGAAATTAAGTATTTTATTTACCATCTAAACTCCAAATTGAATTCAAAATAACTATGATGTGTAAATCTGTTCAGCAAAAGTGTTTTACAAGAAAAGAAATAATAATAATAATTATAAAATCGAGTAGGAAATTAAAAAAAAACTTATTGTTAATAAAGATGATTAAATTTAATATGCCATTTACCAAAAATAAATAAGGTTGCATTGAATTTATACCTACCGAATTTGGATTACCTACTACATAAATATTAGTTTGCCAAACATCTTGAATAATTAATATATTGTTTTTATAGAACATTCAACTTCAAATCACATAACGTTTAGTGGAATAGACACGGAATCTGGGGAATTGGTTTTAATTAGTGAATGGAGTTTTCCTTATAAAACTAAAAATGATCTTCAACAAATTCAGCGACAACTCGGAAGCATTGATCAAGAAATAAATTATTTGATGAAATTGAAACATTCAAATCTCTCTCAATATTACGGAATGAAATATGATATCAACAATGATAGTGTAACTGTGTTTTTATTGAAGGAATTTATATTTGGTAAATAACATTTTTTTTTCTTTTTGATAATTTATTAAACAATTAATCAACAATAAATTTAAATATCTGTGCTTTTAGGTACAAATTGTTATTCTCTGTTTACAAATCAAGATCTCAAAGTTGATACGGAATATTTAAAACATATTGCTAGGGGTATTCTTATTGGATTGGATTACCTTCACAGAAACAATGTTGTGCATAAAGATCTTAGAGAATCTTGTATATACATCAACGATTGTGGTAAATTAATTATTTCGATCATTTTTGTTTTTACTAATATATCCCGAATTTTTTTTTAGGTACAGTCGTAATTTCAAATTATAGTATTCATCGTCGTTTATTAGATCTATGCAGTCAAGGTCACTGTTACTATAATAAAAAGACTGATATTTTTAAATTTGGACTGCTTATTTTATCTCTTTTGCAAGGCTATACAATTTCAGAAGAAAATGTAGAAATACCGAGTATATTTTCTTCAGATCTCTATGATTTTTTATCAAGGTATCGATTTATTCTTTTTTCATTATTATTTAATAATTTCGATATTTTTCGAATAAATTAAACAAATACATTCAGAGAATATGACATGCTTTAAGAGCTATTGACCATTAGCTGAAGTTCATTTCTGACTTCCGATACCATACTAAATGTTCTTGTATTTTACTGTTTCCTACTTTCCAGTGCAACAACGTCATTAATGCAAAAATATATTAGAAAGTGAGCTTTTGTCACAAAATATAAATAATCTGCTTCTGCCCTCGATGCATAAATGTCGTTAATATAACATATACAATAAATGAACCATTTTATTATTAATATCTTTCAGTTTATGAAGAGCAAAACTTTCAAATGTAAAAAAAATAGATTTTTTTACTTATGTAGTTGCTGCACTGGATGTGTAGTTTGTTCTTTTTATACGATACGATCACTTTTTTAGCGATCATATGAAATACTATACATTTCCACCTCTGACTGATGCTAAATAATTTTGTCATTCGTGGTATTTAAGAGGTGGATGCGTTAGGTACGTTATTATAGATTAGGGATCACAGTGTATTTATAGTGTCCTGATAATGGCTATTTAAGCCAACAGCGCGTTTGACTAACTTATAAATAGATATTTGCGCACTTGAAAAATACTTCTTTCTTTCCTTTCAAAAAAAAAGTCCTCACGTTATGTAATTTATAAACCAATTCCTGCTGATCGAGCTTGTAAAAAAAATACTGAAAATGTATAGTTTGACGTAGGCGGGCCAAACTGGTCAACGGCCAACGGGCCGCAAAAACGACAATGGCGGGCCGTATGTTGTCCAGGTCTGATCTATTATGTGTATACAGGCATCGCATCCTAATTTGTCAGTAGTGGGGTAAAGTTTGTGCACTGCTGACACACCTTCAAACGATCTTACTGGCTACTATTAAAGCTCAGTAGCCTATACTGCTTTTGCTTAAAATAAATTTTCTAGAAGTTTTAAAACGATCACAGTCAGAATAATCACAAAATTTTAAGAAAATTACCTAAAATTTTAATCCTTAATAACGGTCAAATCGGGTCCGCCCTCGTTTCTAAGAATGGCTATCATTTGATGGTATTATAGGAAATACCAGATTACCTACACAATGGATCAAACGCAATTATGTAAATAGGTTTTTAAGTACTACAGAATTTGTTAAAATGTATTTGTTATCTATGAGCTAAAATGTATTCCGTTAAAAAAAATTATTGGTTGAAAAAAAAATGGTGATTTTGCACTTGATATCTTTAATATTTTAACAAAATGCGAGGGTGAAGTAGAAGTGGTGAAAGTCATCAGCATACAAATATTAAAATAAGACAACGAGGATTTTTTTTAAATATGTTATAGGTCAACAAATACTGAATTTATACTAACCTCTATTCCTTGTTGCTTTAACTACTATCAAACAAAATAAACATAAACAAATTAACAGAGTTCTAAAAAATCGTTATCAAAATCATCACTATCACTAGAACTAACACTGCTGTCTTCATTAACATTAATAATAACTGTAGGAATTGCAACGTCATCCATTATAATTTTGCGATCTAAATATTTATCTTCGACAGCTATTACATGTGCACATCTTTTTTTTCAGTCTTCTTGGGTTACTGATTTAAATTTAATTTCAGCTAACATTTGTACATGTGCTAATTTAAAATGAATATTCTTTATAGCTACATTATTTTTTACTGCAGCCCAGATCATTTCTATTGGATTTAAATCTGGGTGGTATGGTGGTAATCTCAAAACTGTATGACCGTGTTCGGAGAATAATCTATCAAATTTGTATTGCTTGAATCTATGTTTGATTAATGTGTACAGCTGTGGTCGTAATAAGGAAGGTTGAAATTCAATATTGTTGGACGTCAACCAGTTTATCAATTCAGCTTTTCTTGAATTTGAATTCGGAGCAGGATTTTCTATAACATTGTGACACGGTGCATTATCCACAACTACAATAGGATTTGGTGGTAAATTTGGTAGTAACAGTTCTCTTGGTCACTTTTCATAATTTTCTTGATTCATATCATTATGATATTCACCAGATTTGGCCCCAGACACAAACATTAATAAACTGTTAGGAATAAAGCCCATGTTACCACCAGCATAAACTATAATAAGTCTCTTTCCTTTCGAAATGGTGGAAAACAAACCTTTTGCATTATCATCACCCCAATTATGTGATGATGTATGGCTACTATGTATATAAGTTTCATTAATATATACAATGGGACGGTTTTGAGAACGAAAATATCTAATTTTTTTAATATAATCTATTATTTGTTCCCTGTTGTCAAGTCGTTCTATTAGAACCTGTTTGTTGTTTCGCGTTTTTCGCCACTTGAACCCATTTTTTTTAATTTTTCACTAAGAGTTTTGACTGTTACGCGCAAACCATCTGTTTCGTGAAATCTATGAACTATATCTCTGATTGTTCCAATATTGTAGGATGGAATATCTGTTACACTTGATGTTCTTTTTGTTTTGGAACCATCGTTCAAAACACATTGTCTATAAGTTTCACTATCATCGTTGTTTTGTTGTATACTACAAACAAATAAAAATAAGTATAGCTCAAAATCTGCACGCTACACAAATTCAAGAAAATATTATCATCTACTGATCACCCCTGACAACACGGCTATTGTTTGCATCTCTCTTTAACAGTTACAGTGGGCGTTGAAACTTGAAATTCGAGATTAACGCACATCACCTCTTCAGTCAAATTAGGTTGCCATGCCTGTACATACATTATAGATAATTTTAATTAATGACAAGTTGAATAGATTATATCACTCATAATGTAATAATTTCCTATACTTTTAGTTGATAGAGTAGAACAAACTTAAGTTTGGGACAGCAAATGTTGGTTGCATACAAATCTGCGCATATAGGCGGGCTTTGTTTATCAGTGGCGGTGGACGAAAATAAGTGGAAAAATAGAAATACTTTTTTATGCATGTAATTATCAAAATTCGAAAGGTAATTAATTTGCTTTGTACAATAGGTACGTAAGTTGTTATGCTTTTTTAATTTAGAATACACATTCAGGTTACTAAATGTACTTAATTGTATCCACTAAACAACCTAATTTACGGAGCGTATATTTTAAATTATTGTAAGTTTGTCATAAAATGTAGTTTTGGAAAACTTGTTAACTGCAATAAAGTACATGTATATACCTACGTAGCAATAGGTACTTTATAAAAAATTAGCATAAGCAAGTATACACTATTGGTCTACCCTCAGATCTATATTGTAGTAGCTTCTTCAAATATTCAATTCTTTTTATTCGAATATCATGGTTTTCTATCAGGACACTCCGATTATCTTCTGTTTTTCGCCACCTGTAATATGTTATTAAATATTTGAAGAATACGCAAGGCTTTGTCCTAATTTATTGTATATTGTAAATAAGTACCGTAAATTAGCGGAATGGTAGATCGTTAAAAGTATAAGCACCTGAATCCTAACTCGTTTATTGTTTTCCTTAATGTCTCAATTGACCCTGGAAATTCCATTTGTTTGTCCTTCATCTTTTGCATAATACCTTGAATAAATAGAAGTAGGTACTTAAAATGTTTGGGAACGAAAATTTATATACCAGCAAGTGTATGTGATCTTTTCTCGATGGTGTAAAAGTCATAGATTACATTTTTAAGTGTTTATGTTTCTCCAGGGTTTAACTTAATTTTTTTGACACGACGAATGGGCTATATTTCTGTTTAATTCTCCCCCTTCTTTCCTTATTTTCTGAAGGGTGTTTTTACTTACACCTGTCGCTGCTAAAATCCGTTCTCTGAAAATATATTGTAAATCTTATTTTATTTTTACTATTTTAATATTTGTTTATTTCTTTTTATTGTCCAAAAAGTAAATAGCACAACCAAACACGAAATGTTACAATATAAAATACAATAACCCACTGCCTGCAGGTATAGAGTATTTTAAAGAAACTCATTTTAAATGAATGATTATTGTTAGAATTGATTGTTTCAGCCTATAGGTACTCTGTGAAATTATGTCAATACAGCAGGAGCATAAACATTTTTTTAATTTCACAATGGTATCGTATCTGTATAGTTCCACATAATTAAAATATTATGTAATTAAAAATACTTACCTAAAATTCTTTAAAGGTATCAATACGTCCTTGGTAACATTGAAGTGGGCCGCTTCTTCTTCCATAAATTTCGAAATATTATTAATGATTTCTTTTGTTTGACTGCGTAATCCCTGTCCCCTTCTGCCAATTTTTTTCGGAGCCATTTCGTCCAAATCACTTTTATTTCTAAATTAACTATGTATATACTATAACTAAACTTATACACTAACTATTATTGCTACTCTATTATAACTACTACGGCACTAAATTAAAAAAATAAGAATAAGGAAATACATCACTGGAATAAAAAAGAGCACTACCACATAGCGCTGTTAGATGCAAATTGTTTCACATATTCCCCTCTTTACGCTACGGTACTGGCCATCGCCGTGGTAGAGGTTGGCATGGTAACGATAGTCAACAAATCTACGGCGCAACCATCGGATCGACACGTGGGTGTACCAAACTTAAGTTTGTTTTACTCTATGTACTTAGTATTATTTCTTTTATTTAGCTAGTTTGCTAATAGCATAATATACAAATTTTGTAAGAATCTATGTATTATAGTGCGAGACACACTGAGAATGCAGTGTGATGTCTTATGAAGCGCGCCGTTACCAGCCGTCGCTATGCTGGAATCGACAAAGAAAAAATCAGGTTCGGTCTTGGGAAAATTTCGACACGGGTTTAAATTTTATCTCAAAATTTGTATGTTTAATAATAAAAAGTAAACAATTAATTTCATAATTACAAAATAAGTTAACAAATAATAAACAAATTTTAAGTCATCGTCGAGGTCTGAAATCTCACTCTCAGAACTGTTGCCAAAATTTAGTCATAATGAGTTCATCAACGTTGTCTTGGAGATTGTCAGC